CCTGAATCAAGAATTCATGCATCTGTGAACTGAGTTGATGAAACAGAAAGCATATCGTCATCACTGCAATCTGAATTGTCACTCTGCACCACATTTACAGACTTCGATAATCCATCACATTTCTCCCCAATCTATTTCTTGAGCTTTGGACAATCTCTCTTCATATGACCTGACTCCTTGCAATTATAACAATGAATTATCTTTTTGCATTTGGACTTGGATCTGGAATTTCGCCTTCTTGAACCCTCCTTCTCTTTCTTCCTTCCACGATTCTGATTACCCTTTACATATAAACTGTCGTCATGAGATTTTCCCCCTGCATTCTGCTTCCGATGGTTGTGAGCCAACAATGCTGCAGTAATCTCATCAACTTTTATAGTTTCTTTCTCATATGTAAGAGTAGCCACCAGGTGTTCATAGGAAGAAGGTATTGAATACAATATAATCATTGCTCAGTCTTCATTCTCAATAGTCATATCAAGCCATGATAAATCTGTGATTATTTGATTGAACACATTAACATGCTGCGCCAGATTAGAACCTTCTTGCATCTTCAAACCATCCATCTTTTGCTTCAAATACAATTTATTTGTCAGATATTTAGCCATAAATTGAGTTTCCAATTTCTTCAAAACCTCTCCTAAAGATTTCAGATTTATTACGTAATACATAACCTCATCTGCCAGACATAGACATATAGTTGCTGCTGCTCATTATTGCAATTCTTTTTAATCTTCATCCTTCATGGCATCTGGTTTTGCTGCCCGCAAAGCTTTCAAGATTCCTTATTGAGCAAACAAATTTTTTACTCTTGTTTGCTACAATCCAAAGTTACTAGTTCCATCAAACTTCACCACCTCTAATTTTGCACCAGAGATTGTCATTTGAAATTGATCCTGCGACAAATTATTCTGCAAATTCATTTGTAATTGCTTGCTCAAAATCTTTCTAAGAAAATTGAAAAATTAACTTAATTAAGTTTTTTTTTCAAAAAAGCAACAATTTTTTTTAAAAGAAAAAATTGAAATATTTTCTTAATTAAGCTTCCTTAATTAAGTCCCCTTAATTAAAATATTTCTTTTAATAAACTGAATTTCAAAAACTTTCCTTTCTTCAGCCTAGGAAATTCGGAAAATCCTTCCAAATTTTCTTCTCCTCAGCCTCCGACGAAGGAAAATCAAAACGGATAATCAAGACCTTCCAATTTTCCTTCCCGCCACTGAACGAAAAAAATCAGATCTTTTCTGTGTGTCCAACAAAAGAAGTTCGAGCAAAATCGGACTTCTCCCGCGAAGGAAAGGAGATCGTCTCCTGATTCCTTCGCCCGCTCCGGTCGCGCTTGTCGCACAAGTCACTAGCCGCCAAACTCGCCTGTCGAGCCTTCCTTTCCGGTGCCCCAGCTAAACTGCCATAAATCCTCTGCCGCAAAGCCTCCTTCGCGAAAAATCTGCTTTGCCCGCTGCTTCGCTCTGCTTGTGGACGATTTGCTTCGCCCAATGATCCTCGCTGTTGCGTTAAGTCTGGTCCGATCTTTCTGTGCGTGAGTACTTGTTTTCATTGTCGAACTCCTCTGCGCTAATCTTTCTCACATAATACTTGTCTTCGTCGTCGAACTCCTCTGCGCTCCAAAATCTCTCCTTTGCCTTATAACTTGACTCTGATACCATTTTTTCAGAAATTAGAGGGAACAAAAATAGAAATCAACACAAATCTGGAAGAACACAAAGAGATTTAACGAGGTTCGGCAAAAATGCCTACGTCCTCGGGAACAGAGCAACGGCTTTTCAACTAATCCAGAAAAAAAGAGTACAGGATATAGAATAAAATAACCTAGGGTTACAAACAGACATATTTATAACCCTAGAAAGAGAAGAAAAGAAAACCTTGAGTATAATATGTAATTATCAAATTACCCTTGTACCACACCCCCAACCCACATAAAGAAACTCCCCTAATTTGGACAAAATTATCCGCTCCAGCATCTGTCCCTTATATAGTATATGAGTCACGCATAACAGTTCTTTATTTAAAAATAAAAAAATTGGCCTTGGCCGCTTAAAATATTCATAATTTTAAATATTCATTAAAATATTACTTATATCTGTTTAGTGGAGTATGACTATCTATCTTATATTGATTCTGATGAAAAGATGTTTTTCATTTGTCAACTTCACTCGCTTATTTCTTTAGAGATTTGAGCAATTTCTCAAAGAGTGTGTTTGAATTTTTTATAAGAATGGTCAAACTATCATTTACATGGATTAACAGCTTCATTAATAGAATATGGCTCTCAGCGTGATGGATAAGATGAGTATAAGAGCAAACTGTCACTCACATCATTGATAAGTAGGACTCAAAATGCAGCCCTCTCAGAAATACACTTTTAAAAAGCTCAAGATCTACTCTTGAAATTTGATGAGATTCAGTGGAGAATCTTCAAAAGTATTATTTAAGTGAGTCTCCATCTTCTTAATGAATTTTAGAAAAAAAAAGAGGAATTTTTTATAATCCTTCAATTATTATATATTACTCTACAAAGAATATGGTAAGTTTATAAAAAATATAAATAGTACTCTCTCTTTGGAGGTAATATAATGAAGTATGTAACTAACCTTTGAGGGTGACAAGATAATATGATAGTGGATCACACTAGAGACACATTATACGTGCAATAAGGTTTCATAGTGGTTATGTGTTCATATGTGTCAAATAGTTCATCATATGAATGAATATTTAGGAGATTGAATGCTGCTCAAATATTTGTTGGAGGACAATCTCAGCCAAAGATGAATGCTTCTGAGAACTATGACAAGTAATAAAATAACTTATGTCTCTTAAAGAGAACTCTTCTTAAATTAAATGTCGTAGCTTATCGCAAATTATATGATGAGGTTGAGCCAAGTTTTCCAAGAGTATTGTAGGTTTGCAATTTGATCTAGTTTTACGAAATGGATGTTTAAAACTAATAATGTCTCAGAACTTTATGCTTTCGTTTTATGTGAATATGAAGTTTCAATGTTCTCATCTTACCTAAATCTGAAAGTTTTCATATCCTAATTTGTGAAAACTAGCAAGTTTGTATGACTATTTTTGTAAAAGTCTGGTGTTTTTTTTTTTTTTTTTTGTATATTCATCGGTGAAAACCTGAAAGTTTCAATACATTTATTTGTGCAAGTTTAAAAAATTATGATATGCTTGATTGAAAGAAAATAACAACAGGAAAAATCATAATTTTGATTGTGCGAAATATGAAAGTTTGATGGTTTTGATTGCGCAAATATGAAATGAGGATGATATCAATTTTATTGTAACCATAAAGATGTTTCTTGCTTGTTTCCTTATATGTTGCGCTTCCTGTCCAAGTCTGGTTGGATTTCAGCGAAGTTTGCAGCCATTTTTTTTTTAATAAAACTCTATGCAGTATTTCATTAAAAGCGAGGTCACAGTAAAGAGCTATTATGCCATTCTCTATAGCTGGTTTCCTTGTACCTGAGCAGATACATATAGGTTTCTACTACCTTATTATAAGATTTAGCCGCATTCATTCTTTATGGGCATTGTAGTTCGTATATGTGAGGGTTGAACTAAATTCTTCTCTGTAACCACTATCTCTTTCCACTTGTTTCCTTTACAGGTTTTAAGTCTTCTTCTTTGCCGTAAAGACTTTTTTTGTCTTTTCTGAATTTGTTAAACAATAAATCCCGAAGCTTTGTTACAATCCCTTAACATTGGATGATCTTTGTGGTAGTTTTACGAGCTTATCTACCAATGCAAACCATCAGTGCAAATTCTGATTTAGGGGAGCCTAAAAAGCCCCATTACATGGAATGATAAATGATAGAAAAACCAAAAGTAAATCACAGTATTTCTTTTACTTTAAAAAGGCTTTATACATAATATTTCAGTCTTTTGTGTTGGTGCATATTCCTCGGTACCTCGTTGACAGTCAGATCTCTCATTCTGGAGCTTTTATGTACGGGGGAGTCGTCGGGTTCCGGTGGTCGGTTGGAGGAAGAGTTGATTGATCGATTGGATTAATCTCTATTTATATTCACCTAAAATCTATTTTTAATACATAACCCACCTAAACTCGTAGCCATGAATGTAAACACTGCCTAAATTGCTTGCATCTATCATTCTGCCCGGAGGGACAAAGCAAATACATGTGTTATTCATCATACAAGATATGAAATAAAAATAATGTCTTGAATATTCGTCATATTCAAATCCACCACCACACATCGTTTCTTCTATAAAAGCAAATGTGTTAAAATTACCTTTAAAGAATTGTTTGGTATGCTACAAAGTGTTTAGTGAAGCAGGTGGAAACACTTGCCGTGTACAAGGATGAGCATGCCCTTCTCCTATTAATCGCACTCACGGCCATATATATATATATATATATATATATTGTTATGGTGAACCCACTGAAAGCGACTTGTTAACAACGCCCAAATACTGAAAATAGGGTCTGTCCTTTTATTCGAATATTTTTTTCTGAAAAATTTATGATATTTATTTTAATTATAATTATTTAGTGAAAATATTCAATCATTCAAACATTCAAATTATCATTAGAGCAAGGTTGGGAGCGATGTGATTTCGGGCGGGATATATGAATAGTTTTGACGCCCTATAAATGACTTTCATTATATCAATTATTAACATTATTATCGATGATCATTCATGTCACTTAATAATGAAATGTGTACGTTAAAAGCTCACCAGATGACGGGTTGGAAAATAAAATATTTTTTATAAGCGACGATATATGTCGTAATTATGATGTCGCAAATGATCAAAATAAAAAACAGTCGCATAGTAATTAAGACAATTTTTCTATCAATTTTAACTTTTTTTTTTTCTTTTTATGTAGTGTTTATACTATATTTCTTATATGTGATTTATAGATAAATTTGAATTCAACATCATGCACAGATAAAATGTTGTTTGTGCTTATATCCCCCCGCCCAACCCTTGCCACTCCACTTCATCTCTCCATGGCCAATCTCTCCCTCCTCCTCCTACTCCTCCTCCTCAACTTCACCACAGTCATCTCCACCGCCGATGACGCCACCTCCTTCATCTACGCCGGCTGCTCCCAACCCAAATACACCCCCAACTCCCCTTACCAATACAACGTGGAATCCCTCCTCTCCTCCCTCGCCAACTCCGCCTCCTTTTCTTCCTACTCCAACTTCACCTCCTCCTCCCCTGCCATCTCCGCCCTCTTCCAATGCCACCCCCACCTCTCCCCCTCCTCCTGCTCCTCCTGCATCCGCTCCGCCCTCTCCCTCCTCCCCTCCTTCTGCCCCTCCGCCGCCTCCGCCACCCTCCAGCTCCACTCCTGCTATCTCCGCTATGGCAACGACTCCTTCCTATCCCTCCCCGACACCTCCCTCCTCTACAAAATCTGTTCTTCCCCCGTTGACTCCCCATTTGACTCCCTCGACTCCCGAGACAGAGCCCTCTCTTCGCTCTCCGGCGGTGGCTCGTACCGAGAGGGGACCGCCGGTGGGGGGCGGGC